TGAGGGGGTCAGGCCTGTGGGGAGCTGATAGGAGAGCTGCTTCAAGGTACCATTTGGAGGTCCGGGCAATGGGTGTAGGCCCTAAATGGGTGCATCAATGCAGCGACCAGAGCCTTTGCACTCCTCATGGCCAGTTTTCATTGCCCTGGAATCCCAGCATTGGGTTTTTTGGGATTGCTTGGGTTCTTCAACAAAGCAATGACTTAAGAGCTGATGAGAAGCCCTGTGTTGATGTACTTGATGGTTCCCTGGCTCCGTTTAGCCAACTCCACTTAACGGTTGCCCTGTCTTTCACACACGGACATCCTGCGCTGCTAACAAGATTTCAAAAAAATGCTGTCTCTGCCAGGCAGTCCTCTGTGGCCCAGATCTGGGCTTAACTTTGAATCCCCACCCTTGAAAGCAGCTGGTTAAAAAGGCTTCATTGTTTGCCCGGGCTCTGTTGCATCACAGAGAGGCGAGTTTTTCTGGGAGATCAAAGGGGATCTTAGAAAAGGCAACATTTGTTGAGGGGGGGCTGGGGAAGGGGAGGGATGATGTGGATGCCAATGGAATAAACGTCAAGGAAACAAAAGTTTGGTTGTAAATGTGACAGCCTGGAACAAGAAGGAAAAAACGGGGAGGGAGGGCCACAGCACCTAAGACACCAATGCTAAGCTCTCCCTTACATGTGCACCCAGGCTCAGTCTCCCGGTAGTCGGGGGGGAAAAGCGTTAAAATCTGTTAACGGGGCCTCAAGCACCTGGGGTCAGCCTGTAACAGCTGCTTGACTGGCAGGGTAAAAGGGGTGAGCTGCTGGTATCAGAGCAGGGGTGAGCTGCTTGTACCAGAAGCATTTGTAAGGCTCCATTAACAGCAGGGGCACTTTAGGGCCAGGAATACCAGATGCTGACATGAAAACGTGTTCCTAACGAAGGTGGCTGCTCCAGCAAGCTGGGTTTTCTACTTGGGTAGCAAAACCACCGCCGGCAAGCAAAGTAATCTGAACCTTTGCAAACACAGGTATGCTGGGGTGGGGGTTGGTGCTTCTGCTGAGAGATGCTAATTGGGGTGTGAAGAGGTGTGACCTCAACAGACCTAACTGAGCCAGCAGACAGTGGAACCATTGATGGGGACTCACTGGAGCATGATCAAGTCTCTGCCTGGTGTGGGTCTGTGTTGGGAACTGAATGCTGCTTGGGACACTACACACTTGTCAGAGGCAGAAAGTTTCCTCCTCTACTTGCAGTGACAGGAGAGCACTGTAAGACCTGTGGGCTGCTTCCCTGATCTCCCCAGTATGAGCCTCTCCGTGGGGTGTACATGCATTCCAGCCTGACCGCAGACAGGGGGAGCCAGGTAACTTTCAACCTGCTTTTATTTCTTACAATGATTGGATTGTGTCGCAGGGGGAAGAAATACAGAGCTTTGCATTGCTGGCTGTGTCTGAGCCCTGGGCCACAGCAGAGCTTTCTGAGGGAAAAGGCAGCAGTGTCCACAACCCTGACTGGAAAAAGCAGTAAATTCCTTTGCAGGGAAATTCAGTGGAGTGTCAATTCAAATACAATTAAGGCTCCCATCCCACTGTCTCCTAATGAGCCCAGCCCTCCAGGGGTATATGCAGCAGCCTGGAGGCTTTATGGCCACGGGGGCTGATGGGACTTAAGGAAGTTTCAGGGACAGGATCAGCATCCCCCAGCTCCAGCCAGTGCACTCGCCCCCCCAGCAGAGCCTCTGAGTAAGGGGTGGGCTCAAACAGGGGACTGGGAAGAGACCTCAAGCCTAGCAAGGGAGCAGCACCACTGCCCTGGAGCAGCCACTGTGAGATGAAAGCATGTGCTGGGGATAGCCCCCATGAGGGACAAGGGACCTCTGATGGCTCCTTAGTTCACAGTCTGAAATCAGGCACATTACCAGGTGGCTGGTGGCCCAGCCCCATCCTTACGCTCCACAGGGATGGTGGCACTTGGCTGCGTGTGGGCCAGGAGATGGGGCAGAGGCCAGAAAAAAGCCGGAGTTGTTGGTGACAGTTCACCTTTGTGTGGACATGTGGTGAAGGCTCCTGCTCCGTCCAGGCATGTTTGCAAGTGGGGCGCTGGGGAGTGGCAATGAGATATTTTGGATTAGGCCACAGGGGGATCCAGGCCTGGGGTTCTGCAGGCTGCGTTCTGCTCTACTTGCACTTGTGCACATAGTAACCTGTCACGTAGCCAATGATGAAAACAATCCAGAAGAGGATGTTTCCTCCGATCACTTTAACTGCGATGCCGACTTTCCCTGTGCACAGCTTATTGTAAACCCTGGGGAGAGAAACAGGGCGTCCTTACCAAAGGGAGGAAAAGTGCAAGGCACCTGAAGATAAAACAGAAAACCAAGGCCCTGCCCACCCATCCTTGCTGACCACCCAAGTCCCTTGTCATTCACATAGAAGCACTATCCCCAATGGCAGGTCCAACTGCAGTCTGAGCAATTCATGTACGTCCCACCCCAAGTCATGCCGCAATTTCAATTCACGGCAGCATTTTTCTGCCCCCCACTCTCTGGTGGGGACAGGGGGCATCTGCAAGAAAACACTAGGGCTTATACAGAACAAGTTCGGTATGTGCGGTGAGTCTACGCCTGTCAGACAGCAGAGCTACAGGTGTTCTCACCTCCTACATCCTGATGCCTCAGCAGTGGACACGTTCACACTGACTTCATCACGACTGTTGTTGTTCCACCGCCTGTACTGAACGCCTGTGTCTTGAGGCTGCATCCTCCCAAGGAAAGGTGTGGTGGAAATAAGTCTAAGAGGGAAGCAGAGGCAGACACCAGTCACAGCTGATGCCTTGACAGTAGGAAAACTTAACAAGACCACCTCTTACCTTCCCCGTGCCCCTTGTTTATACAAGAGGAAAGTGCCCATTACTATCAGTTATTTAATTCTAGGAGTGACAAAAATGGGCTCTAGGCCCTCATAATGACTCCAGATCAGTAGTTGTCCTGACTGTTGCGTAATAAAGGCATAAACTAGTGAGCCAACCAAATGAGTTGCCTGGATCCGGCGTTAAAATGGATCCTGTTCCAGAGTTGGAAGGGACTTTGAAGGGAACCCTCAATGCATCCCACCAGAGCAAATGGCTCACTGCAAAACTGAACTCCGACTATCCCAACCATTTCCATATGTACAGATCAGCAGGGGTGTTGCAAGCTATTGACCCGTCAACCTGCATCTTGGGCACTGGGAATCAAAGCAGTTCATCCCAGCCACTTCAGACCAGGGTGAAGAGCGCCATCCCCACAGCATCATCTGGAATCTCAAGGCCAGCCCCCAAGTCCCAGCAAAGCTTTGGAAGGCTTGCAGGAGCCTTTGGAGGAGTGCGGCAGAGCACAGGTTGTACCTGCCACTTTAAGGGGTCTGAGCAAGCAGTAAGCAGCCTGCAGGTGGGAGCAGACCCCATCAGGCAGTCACATGTTAAGCAGGAGGCTGCCTGATTGGTGGAGATGCTGGGAGCCTGGGTATAAGGCTGGGCCTCAAGAGCAGAGCTAGTAGTTGCTGCAGGGGCAGGTCACCCAGCTGGAGCTGCTGCTCCCAGAACACCGGGAGGTCAAGGGTGGGAACCTGGGGGGATGGAGCAGGGTCCTGGTCCTGGGGAATGACCTAAAATTACACCCTGCTGGGAAGGATGGTGTGGTGGGGCTGCTGGTAGCAGGGCAGTCTCCAGGAAATGCCATACCAATGCCTCCCTAGTGAGAGGTGAGGATGGGGTGCCGGAAAGCCTCAGCCCCCACTGCCTTGTGGGTGACCCTGTGGAGGTGAAAGGCTAGGGGAGCACACCCTGACAGAAAAGCACAAGGCCAAGGCCCATTGAGTGGGGCCTGAGATGGGGTTCAGGCCAATTGAATGGGGGTTGAGACAGGGCTCAGGCCCACTGAGCAAGGTCTGAGTCCCAAGGGACATTAGGCCCAGTGAAGGGCAGGGTAGAAGCCCACTGAGGGAGCCAGGTGTTGAGGCCCCAGTGTGCGGGGCATGGGAAGAAGCACCAGTGCGGGGGGCATGAGGCCCAAGTAGGTCTGAGGATGCCTGTGGCCAAGCTTGGGCTGGGTGAGGCTGTGTGTGGCCCAGCCAAGGGGCTGTGGGAGTATTAGTGGATGTGTATGCCACCTGCGACGCATGGGACATGTTATAAGGGGAGGTTCGGAGCCATGTATTTGCCCTTGGCATTAGGGCAATTAAATGGGCAGCCTCCTGCCTAGGATGCAACTTCAGATGCATCAAAGGTGAGGCAGGTGGGTGGACTGCCCTAGCCGGGTGAGCAGGCCAGCATTCAGACTGGCCCTGGGATGGCCCACTGCTTAAAAGGAAATGCAAGCAAAAGGACCAGAGCCAGTCAGAGACAATCTTCTCGGTGCTGAAGCACCCTACTCCTCATTGCCTCTCAGTGTCTTTAGGCTCTGCCAGAACAGGAGATCTGTGTCCTTAGCAACTCTGAATACTTTGTGTTTCAGACAGCAAGTGCAGTGGGCAGGTGGCTGTTTGCTCTTTGCAGAAGCTCCTTTCTGTAACAAGTCGTTCTGAGGAGAAGGAATCCACTGCTCTGATAAGGCACATAAGCCAGGATTAAGAGGAAACTCTGGGCAGGATCAGATGTCTGACATGTGAAGGAAAAACAGATAAAGGAAAGTAAGTGGTACCAGGCAGCTCCTTTCCTGCTGGTGAATTCTTGGGAGGTTTAATACTTGTGTATAAGCATATCTAGCATGGCCCTTGCTTACCCAGAGACGCAGAAATTGAGCTTGATGCCATTCTCTGTGGGGATTTGTCGGAGCGAGCTGCAAAAGCTAAAGCCCTCTGGCATAGGCATGGACCTGCTTGTCACCAGGGGGACAAGCATTTTGCTATGGGTTTAGAGGCATTTGCCCTGGATTTATGCTGAAGGGTGTGGATGCAGTTAGTACCTGGTCCTTGGAGCATGGTGCCACGGGCAACAAGACAAAACACTGACATCACCCACCTGTGTGCAGTCGGCCCCAGACACTACCACGCCTTACCCCTGCTAGCCCAATGCTGGAGCCCAGGGTAGGCCTTTGAGCTGTGTCCCTGATCAAAACCCACCCCTTTCCTGCTGTTATATGGAGGCTGCCCCCACACCACAAAGGTGGCTGCACTTCTGTGCTGCTGTATATGTGTACCCAGGTTTTTCATGTGCATTGGGATCCTGGCAAGGGAATGTCACATTACAGAAATGTGAAGCCTGATTTTTGGGAAATCTAGTGACATTCTCACCAAGGGCACAATGTCTAAGGCAGCCCCAGGCCTGGCAGTGCAGCCTGTTTCTTCATTTCCTATCCCCTCCCCACCATGGGCCAGGAGAGCCTGATATTTCACATCTCAGATAATGCACATTATTATCCTCCAGACAAACCTTATTTGATAACTAGTTTGCAGTGATCTTATAACTCCCTGGCAGGAGCCCCTGTCCTCCACTGTCCTGCCCTGTGAGGTAGCAGTGCCTGGAGGAAGGCGCCTAGCAGGGAGGGCAGCCCTGGTGGAGGACTGGAGAGGGGAAAATGGAAATGCAGCTAATGGCTGTGGGCCCAGGGAGGAATGGGCATGGGTGGGCCAGGAGGGACCATGGTGCTTGGGAGGCCTTTTCTCCTTGCACTCTAAGTGCATTTACTTCCCTCTGTTCCCAGCTCACATTGTGTCAATAAGGGGCTTTGCATTCTTGGCATTGCTAACATAACAGTGCCCCTTAGTAAGACCTAACCTATGAGCCTGCTGGTGCCAGCAGTGGAAGCGGTGCTTGCTAATATCAAATGCTGGCTGCTTGGGAGGTCAGAGCTGGCAGCTCCCTTGGGAGTGCCCCTTTGAAGTGGATCAGTGCTGGGCTAGGCTTGGACACAGGGGCCTTGCCCAGTCTTGTTTTTATGGGGGATGGGACTGGAGCAGCCTGTGGGCTATGCTCAGTCACTGCCTATCTGCCTACAGCCACAAGGAGCTGGTCCCCCAGCCAGGTGTCAGTTGGCTATGAGTTTCCTTGCCAGACAGCCTTCTTTCAGGGCCCCGGCTCCCGTCAGGTAGTGGGGACATGGACAGAACAGGCCTGTTTGCTGCACCACAAGTGGACCCAGGCCCATCAGGAACTGCAGGCCCCATTCAGTGGCCAGAGGGAGACCACTATGTGCACAGCCACGGATTGCTTGGGACAAAAAGTGGCACAGCAGGAACAAGAGTGCAAGCGACAGGTTAATACCCAGGGTGCCAGGGAAGGACGGTGAGTAGAGAGCTCTGGCCACCGCCTGCTCCCCCTCCACAAAGTATTTAAGGCCTGAGTGCATGCTGCCCAGTGAAACGGCTCAGTCAAGGACATGGACAAGTGAAAGGAAGGCAGTTCTAGGTTCCCCCTGACCAGAGCCTCCTTCCCAGTCCAGGAGATGCCAGGGCCAGGAAGAGGTTGGCTAATAGGTCCCAGGATTTCATAGACCTAGGACAGGGGTGGGCAAAATGCGGCCCGAGGGCCGGATGCAGCTCGTCAGGCCATTCTACCCGGCCTGTGGGGCCCCTAAAAAATTTAGAAAATTAATATTTATCTGCCCTGGGCTGCCTGTCGTGCGGCCCTCAATCGCTTGCCAAAACTCAGCAAGCAGCTCTCTGTCCAAAATAATTGCCTGCTCCTGGCCTAGGAGAAGCACCCTGTACCAACCCCATTGGGGGGAATCCCTGCTGCCTGGCACTCCCTGGGAATGGGGCTGCTTTGCACCAGTGAAGCGGTGCCTGCAGTCTGGCTTGAACCCGGCGTCTCTTTCCGAACGGCGTGCCCCACAGCCCGGGGCCTTGTTCCAGCCAGCTGCCGCTCCGCACGGGGGCCTCCGCTGCTGTGTTCGGCACACTCTCAGCCTCCCAAGGTCCCCTCTGTCCCTCACACCTCCACGCGCTCCAGTTGCCACCCACACCTACTTGGCGGAAGCAGCAATGCTAATTTTGCCTGGGGGAGTTGTAAAATGAAACATCTCCTCCGCTGGCTGCCCTCAGCCAACAGCTTCAGATCTGTCTGCCTCTGGGCCTGGGACTCTGCCAGCTCATCCTAGCGCCTGCACAGACCTGAGTGCCAGTGATTCCCCCCTCTTCCCAAAAAAAGGGGCTGTTCTGGTTTTTGGTTTTTTTGTTGGGGGGG